GCTTTTCAAATGTTCAGCTGTCATTGGAAATACTAGATGTTTTCTCAGCCCATCTCAAAGAGGGCATGAGACTTCTGACAGAAGTTTTCAAAATTTTCATCAGCAGCTGGGTGTTTGCCCAATAATGGTCCAGAGGTTATGATGAGCCCATATGAGGAACTCCAAAGGACACTCTGTGTGCTGCCATTAATTACTAAAAAAAAAAATTCCAGTTTTGTAAATGTGGCTAATTATTTAGATCTGTTTTCCTTAAAAACATGCTTGCTGAGGGAGAGTCTTAAACCTCCTTCCGAGGTTTCTTAAAAAGCATTAAAATGCATAGGGCAAAATAGAGTCTTACTTATGACTGCCCAACATTTTGATGGGAATAAAGGGGGGTGGTGGCATTTTATTAAGCAAATAAACTTTGTATGCTGAATGTATGGCTGGCTGTTGTTTTGTATTGGAAACTGAATGTCTTTTGAGTTAGTAAAGACATCAAAACACAACTGAAAACATCACAAATCCTCCTTGGAAGAAAGGAAAATATTTTTAATAGAAACAGAACAGTCAAAATAAGTCACTACTATTAAGTGTTGATGCAATGTGTATCTAAGAAATTGAAATATTGCAAATGTTTCCTATATTAAGTCTGTTCAGGGAACAAGAATAAGCCAGTCTTGGACATAATTTTTGCCCTTGCTTACAGAAGATTTTGTTGCATGTATTCTTGATTTTCATCCCCCTTTGCAATTGAACAAGTGTAGTTCTGTGTAGATAGGTCTCTGAACCATTCCTGTATTGCAGGAAGAGTGTATTTAGCTGTTGCATTTTATTTACAGGGCGCAGAGAGTGCTTGTTAAAGGCATTGTTTTGTAGTTAGTCAAAAAGGAGACATGTTAATTTCATGTGTCACTTATAATTAGGCTATTATAAATTTTCATCCAATGATTTTTCGATGCCTGTGTAGTTTTAGGAGTTTAATGTAGTAGATTTTAGTTCAGTAAGAAATTCAGTTACATGACTTTGAACACACCAAGTCTTTTCTTTCTGCATGCACAGTGAATTAGTGTTGAAGTACATCTTTATTTTTAGGTTATGAGTTGTATGGAGTAGTTTGTGTTAATATACATCACTCATATTTTTGTGATACAGGAAACTGTTTAGTGTGTAAATGGCACTCGTATCAGTCTGCTTTATGGAGTTTAAGTACATAATGAAGCTACATTCCCCAGATGGACAGTGACAAATCTATTCTCACGTTCTACAGTTAACTCTGTTTAGGCACTTTTGTTGGCAGATGTCATTGGCATCTGCCTTCCACGAAGACAAGAACAGGAATTTCCTTTGAAGAATAGCCTAGAAACTTTAACTATGTTTAACTCCCTTCAAAAATAATGCTGGGATGTGGTGGTGTGTACTTATGGTAATGTCCTTGTTCACTGTTTGCAGTTTAATTTACTAGAGTATTTTTGCCTTTATGTCAAATATTAAATCAAATAAGGTATTTCTCTTACAAAGTAATTCCATTGAAAATTTACAAGCACCAGAAAAGTACCGTCCTGGCTGTAATGCTATGCTGTCTTCAGGATTTTCTTAAAAAGTCTTTTATCTGCAGAGTTGTTGGGAGAGGTTGATTCTGTTTTTTATCAGCACCAAGGTAGTATAGTCCTTGTTGCTGTCTTCTCAAGTGCCTTGCATGTGTGGGTCTTGGGGTATTCTCTAAAATTTCACATCAACAACTGAATGATTGTTACTAAAACGTGTTGGTCATGAGTCAGTGGAATCTGGTAGAAGTTCTTTTTGGATATTAGCATTCTTCAAATACATATTAGCCTGATCGGACATGATTAGCCATGGATATGGACATAATATGATCTTCATGTGAACTCATACAATTTGGTAACTGGGAGAATGACAAAAAAATTTATCTCACTCCTTTGACTGTCTCTCCCCATCCCCCGCCAAGACTACAGATTTCTTGTACAGCATGCAGCTGGAATGAAAAAATCTGAGAAATAATTCCAGATCTTCTTGAAGCTTAAAAGAATCTAAAGGAATATGTCACATTTTGGGAGAAATAGGAATTCTGTTTTCTGTGCTGTCTGCTTCTCCTAAACCACTGTGTTCTCTTCTCCTAACTCTGTTTTTAATTTTATAAATTTAATGGCAGTCTTTAGTGGTAACTGCTTTTCTGCTATTCCAATACCTGTGATGCCCCTTCTAAAGCAGTGGGGGAAGTAGTCTTTGCAAAGTTAATTTGTTAAATAGTATGTACATTTTGATTATGTCTTATAGATACTTATATTTCAGTAGTATTAAATTTCTCTGCTGTGATGTGTGAAATGCACGGTGTCAAACTGGCAAAAAGGTGTGCTGTGCAAAGTGATCTGTGAAATGCATTAGCGGTGCTCGCTATCTGCTTAAAGAAAAGGATTGTGAGAAGAACAATGTAACACCACATAAATGTTTTCAGTTGTTGCACATCTTGGATTTACTGATACTCTGTTAAAGTTTTAGAATCTCTGTTTTTCTAATTATTGTAACTGCAGGAATTTATAGGATGTCTTTGTGTCTAGAAAGAGTACAATGGAGAAAAGTTGGTTTTTTTGGTGTGTGGGGTTTTTTTCCTGGGGAAAAGCAAATCTAAAAAGCTTCTATGGGTTCTGTTTCTGCAGTCTGTCTTGGTGAGTTCAAGACCTATGTTGCAATAAGCATGAACTCTAGAGCTACTGTTTAAGTTAAGATTTGGTATTTAGGTGGTGTCTATTTAAAACCTTTTCTGTGGATAAATACAGAGTCCAGAAATCTTGATCTTGTCTTTAAATGGTCTCAGCTGTGATGTGTCCTGGGACTTTTAAGGTTGAGAGAAGTTTGACCACAGCTTATGGATTTTTCGGCTTCTGTGAAGCATGGCTAAGGTTTTGTGAAGACATAGAACAGAAGGAATGTTCTTATGTTTTATATATAGAACTTGCCGTTTACCACACATCATCATATGATTTAAACTTTTTGGGACCGAAGCCACTTAAAAGTCCTTTTGCAAATCAGAGTAAAAACAGTAGACTGTGATCTCATATTTTAAGTTCAAATGTGTTTGTGGTGGTCTTACCAAATTTGCAGATTTTGTTTAAGGGATTAAATTTTAAAGTAACAGTTTGGCTTTTGCTGGGTTTCATCTTGCCAAGCCTGCAAAAGATGATAGGTGATGGTCTGGTCAGTGTTTGTTCTGCTAACAGAACTTGCATAAACCTACAGCATTCACTGCAACACAGTCTGTATTTATGTTAGTGCTAGTAACTGCTCTACACTTGATGGCATTTATCCTAGTGATATCTTTTTAAGTCTTTTTGTTGTATCAAAATAGGAGAGCAATGTAGGGAGGAAATTCCCTCATAGGTCAGTTTTTGTTTCTTTCTCCCTTCATTTTCCTCCATCTTCAGTTAACTTGATTCACATGTTCCTTTGGGGGGATTGAAAAGTAGTTTCTAATGGGAACATTGTAGCCTTTTAGAATTCTAATTACAGATTTCTGATTTAGTTTCACATACAATCTAATTACAGATTTCTGATTTAGTTTCACAGTTTTGACTATTTCTTTGATGAACTGTCTGTGTTCAAGACTCACAGTTCAGAATCCTGCTTGCTTGCATCACCTAAGAAAGCAAGAAGTGTGTTATGTAGTGGGTGCAGAAATGCTTTTTTTTTTTTTTTTTTTAAGTAAAAAGAAATAATTGTTAAAACGCTTCCTGCTGCCAAGGTCAAGCAATAAAGACTTGATCAGAGGAAAAGTTTTGGGAAGCAGATTTTGTCTCTCCCACTCCTGGCCATCCAGGTGATAAAGGGGAAACCACTGCAGTTTGTAAGAGAAGCAGGAGGAAGTTTGGTTGAGGAGTGTGGTAGTGGCATTCTCAGCTCTGTCCTGCTGCTTTTTGTAGAAAAGGTGTTAAGGAGTAAAGGGTTTGAAACTTTGAAACCTGGGTTAGTTTGCTTCAAAAAAAAAAAAGATCTGCTTAAGTAGCATATCTTGGTAATTGCAGATTTCTTCAATCTCTTGTGAAGTTTTAATTAGTCATTTTAAATAATAATAATTTTGAAAGCTTTACATAGTTCTGAAGAAAACTCCTGGTCCCTCTAGGGTTGTTGGGTTGGAGCTTTAGGTGCTTATACCATCTCTGCTGTGACTGCAGGGGTTTGAAATGCAGGAGGTTCAGTCCTTGGTGTGGACATTTTTTTTTTTTTTTTTAATTGAAGTGTGTTTTGTTCTGCATGTAGCAGGTAGGCCTCCAAAGGCCTCCACTTGCTGTTTCTCATGCAAGATCAAATTCTTTCAACCTATTTGATGTTGATCAGAAGGATATTCTTTATCCATTTTATCCATACTGCTGCTTTGGAGAAGAGTTAAAAGGTGCATCCTTCCTCTTTATGGTACTCCCCTGCACCTGTGCTTGTCACCTGTCCCTTGTTTGATGATACAGCTTTCCCTGCGTTCTTTTTGAGGGCCAATAATTCTAATTGTCTGACAAAAGCAGAAAGCAAGCAAATGTAAGCTGCTTTCATCTTTCTGGCTTGCCGCAACTGCAGTGATGCTAGGTTGGGGAAAGCAACTAAATCTTCTGGTGCTTCTGTGTTTAATATTTTTACTTCAACCGTTTCTGAAGGGCAATTTGCAGATGTTAGTTACTGCAGTGTTAGGTGGGGTAGTTTGCATAGGAACGTAGCAATACATTTAACTTTAAAAGCACCATCGGTGGTCTTAAAACACTGCAAAAACTTTGCAGCTGTTGAAGAAAAGCAATTTTTAAGTTGGCAGTATCAGTTGCTAGACAGTATTGATGATGATCATAAATTGCAAACAGATTGTGACTGATCTGTATCTCACTCTTCGTGTCGTATGTTTCTACTCTCCAAAGGTATAATGAAATTGAGAGCTCTGGAGCACATTCATTAAATCCAAAATAGTCATTTTTATTTTCATGTTGCAATCTAAATGAACTCTGTAAACTTTCTATGTTTTCCAGGCTACGTTTTGTAAGAAGATGAAGCACAGAAAGCAATGTATTCAAGATACTGAGGGTCAGAAGCATGAAGGCATGGAAGGTAAAGTCTGTGTGTGTGAAAATATTGAAGTATATTATTCAGGTTCAAGCTGTGAAGGTCAGATTTTACATTTGCTGTCTTAATTAGTATGCTGCTTGTTTTGAAAGAAGTTGAGTAAACATAACCACTGTCTCAGCATAATATTTTTCTTTGGCCTGTGGGGTCTCCAAGTCCTTTCCTGTCTCTTCTATTTTTTACTTGTTGACTTCTAGTACTGGAACAAAAATGGAGATAACAATTGTTATTCAGAAAGATAATTAATTTAGAGTAAAATTCCATGAAGAAAAGTTCTTGCATTTTTATATTCTGAAAACAATTTGTACCTTTAACAACACTGGGAACATTTTTTATTTAATGTACATGATTAGGTAAATATTTGAGGATGTTCAGATTAAAATACTTGGAAGACTGGAAAACTAAAATAAAGGTAGACTATGTGCATATAAGATAATGAATATAGAATATGCTGGTCTAATGTATTTCATGGGGAGAGAGTGCAAACATTCAAGGAGAATGAACTTGGGAGAACAGTTTCTAAATGGCTAGATGGCCAATAGGAAGCACTGTGTGGTGCTTTCTTTATTTAAATAGCACTAGAGCTAACTTTCACTTGTTTTAGAATTGGTACAGTAGTCTGAAATATGTTGCTTAGTATTTTTCACCTGAAATACATTCTTTTAACTACTCTGGGCAGTGTCTTTACTACATTAGGCCTGAAAACTTGATTAGTTTGCTTTTAACTACAGAAAATTGTATGTTATTGCCTTATTCAAATCTAGGGCATTATTCCAAAAACTGGCAAAAATTCTAAGTGTCCATGTTAATAATACCAGGTGAAGAAAATGAAGAAAACTGTTCCTGTTCTACTTTATTGTATGACGGTGACACATGCCCCATCTGTCTGAACTGCCTTCTAGAACAAGAGATTGGTTTTCCTGAGAACTGCAGTCATACCTTCTGCATGACTTGTATTCTTAAATGGGCTGAGGTAAGACTGAGATCCAAGGTGTGTGTTTATTTTTCAGTAAAATCTACTGCATCTAGTAACTACATGCTTTTTCTTTTTTAAAGAAAATAAATTATGCGTTCTGACTCTGCACTGAAGTGTTTCACGGACGAGTCTATAAATAGATCATAGGAAACTTTCTCCTTAATGCAGTAAAGTGCTTTGTTTTCTTTCACTAGACATCCTGACTTACTAGTGGTTAGTAAAGATTAGGGATCAGTTAAAAAAAAAAATGGTGTTGGCTCTTTGGAAGGTCAGACGGTATTACGTACATGTTGTAATACTCAGTGTCATTAGCATAATCATATTTTGTTATCCCTTATTGCTGTTTGTCATACTGTCAACTCTCAGGGCTGGGACCAATATATATGTTTTCATGTTAATCTGCAATATGAGTCTGATAAAACCTCAGTTTTCTAACTCTAAAGAGAATTCAGCTAAAAGGTTTAGTGCAATTCTGAATTAAAAATTTTCATTTTAATGATAATTATGGCTATTATTTCATTGATGTTAAGACTTCTGTAGATAGTTCTGGAACCTTAAAGTAAAATGACTTGTTCAACAAATTCTTGATGATCTTGTTCTATTTAGTCCCTTTTTCTTCACATTTCTGTAATGATTGTATTTAGTCTGGTAACTTTTTCAATTGTCACTATGAAACACTAAATTAGAATTGTTTTATACTGTACGTGAGAGTGGTGGGGTGGTGTGTGTGCTCAAATGAAATGGTGCTTTTTGTCCTGTTCTGTGAACTTGAATGTGTTGCTTATTGTAGCAGAGACAACTACGTGGTGCCTTTGCAATAACTTTATTTTGAAGTAAATGATTATTTTTGTTTCAGTATGTCCTTTAAAAGGTTGATATGGCTTATATGTATGTGCATATACAATATTCTTGTTATGTAGTATTTTTATTTACTATATTTTTAACCTTAACTTTTGGGTTACTTATTACTGAAGGCAGACAGTAGCATAAATCACTTCTTTCTGAAGATTTTTTTTATGACCTTCAGAGTATTAAACAGAGGTTATTAGATGAAACTTTTTTAGATTCACAAACCAGATAATAAACTAAGTCTTCTGTTGCCAGATTTTCTGTTCTGCAAATGATTGATTGCAGTGCTTTTATTTATAAGAGAACAGGAAATTCTCATCCACAATTTTATCCTGACTTCCTTTGCTGGTTGTTACAATGGCAGCTGAAAGGCAATAACTAGTGAGATGCACATGGAAGCAGTGCAGTAGGTGGAGGGCTTGCTGGTGGATTTGTGTTTGTTCACATTGCCTAACAGATGCTTTTAAGCCCAATGAGGAAGGGAAATTCTCTTGTTTTAAAGAGTACGACATTTTTCTTGTCAATTATTTTATTTTGTTTTGGCACAAAGTACTATCCAAATAGAATAAAAGCAACTTACGCTCTTAAGAGTTCACAGATGAAGTAGATGTGGTGTCATAAAAATGGTGAGGGCTTGTTTTTAAAGCTCTGTAAGGCTTCTGCTTCTTTCCATTAGTGACATCTCATGGGTAAAACCATCCAGCCTTCCTTTTCTGAGGATACTTGACAGTTGGACCTGTTGAGTTCATGAAACTCCTTTGCCTAATCTAGTAGTTTTAATTAAAAGTAAAGGGGGAGGGGGGGGAAGTGTTGAAAACTGGCTGACAGATGTTCAGAAGCTTCAGCTGTGAGAAGCAGATGAGGTTTTATAGCTTGGAATGATAGAAACACATTGTTTCTATAAGCATGTGGCCATCTGAAGCATGCTGATGCCATGTGGTTTTTGTGTCCACTATTAATATTTAGTAAGTAAATGTTTTTGATCTTTTTGAGAAGTGTTGCATAAGGTTTACTAGTTCTTGGTTGATTATAACTAAGAAAAACTAAATAATTGACAAGCAGTCATTTTACATCACTTTGAATAATGAAGATATAAAAGTAATCTGCTCTTTAAAAAAATGTGATACCAGATTCTGCTTAAAGATAAGTATTTTTATTGGGTATAAATAAATTGGTTTTAAAAACACTGTTTTCCTGTTTAAGTGCCAGAGAACAACAAAATTGAGAATAAGATTATTGAGCATAATCTTTAAAAAAAAGAAAGCCTAATGCTCAGATTACTTGAAGTGCTCTTTTTGTATCTACAGTTAAGCTTCATACACTTAAAGTTTTTATCAGCAGTCTGTGTTCAAGTTGGATACTTCCTCTTTCTGTGTTGCACCTGGATTTCAAAATATAATGGGAGCAACTACATCTTTAACCTGCTTTTTCAATTTGTACATAATAACTGTTCTTCCCAGAGTTTATGGCTTTTATATAAAACTATGTAGATTCTAATTAAAACCAGGGTGGCTTAGGCAGACGGTAAGAGTTTGTTTACCATTCTGCTCCTTCTATCTATGGAAGATTTTAAACATTGCAACTGCATTCAAGTGTCCTGTACCAGCAGGTTTTCTGTCTGGAAGCAGCAAGCATAACACTTTAAGGATCTCGCGTTTTAAGGAGAGAGAGAGAGATAATATAGTTAGATATATGTGCACTTAAAAGCAATATGTTAAAATTGCTTTTAAGTGAGTATCTTCTGGTTCATTCCATGAAGGGCTGAAAAGAGATAGAAAATTTGCCACAGAACATCTAATATACTAGATCCGGATGGGTAAATCTGAGCATTTAGCTTCAGAATTAAGTAGCATTACAATTGAGTCAGTGCTGTATTTTCTTTCCCTTTGAGGAAAGGTGTCCAATTCTTGAAAGAAAAATGAGGGGGACACCAGAATCACCTCTGAGAAACTAGTCTTTTAAAAGCTATGTAGTCTTTAGCTATGTTTACTGTAGGTAACCGTGGCATCTGAGAGCATCGCTGTGCGCTAAATTTAGTTGCCTGCACTATTAAAATCTTCTATACTACTAGGCTGTCATTTTTTATGCCTTTGGCCATGCTAACCAGCACTTTCCAAGAATTGCTGGGCAGCACTGGGCAGGCAGACTGTTGGGGGTTGTTTTTAATAGGCATGCAAAGATTTAATAAATACACAAAGTGAAGTAATTGCATAATGTGTTTCTCTTGTCTGTAATACCACTAGTAGATCGGTTGGCTCAAAACCTATACATTTTTAACATTGTTTTTCTGGTATGCTTGTATTTTGTATTTGATTTAAAAAAGCACATGTGTTCTACTTTATAATAATCAGTTATGAAAGCATTTAAGTAAAGCTAATGTGAAGGGTGGCTAACTAGGTATCTATGGCAAGCAGATATGAGAAGTAGCCAAAACCACCTCAGCTAAGACAAGTGCTTTAGCAGCAATAATATCTTGCCTGTGTGCACTAGAGGAAAACTCTCTGCATTTTTGTATTCTATTAAAAGAAAAAAATATTAAATTGAAGGAGATTAAATATTTACTCTGCTTCGCTTTAGGCTTTTTTAACTTCTGTTCTTCAGAGTGCTAATATATATACTGGAGATTTATGCCCTTGCTCTTCTATTAATTCCTCTTATGAACCATCATGAGAGAAGAGTGTTAAAGAAAAAATTCGGCGTGTTGTCTCCATTATCACAGTGACTGTGTGGGAGACATTGATTTCTGTAACCCTCTCTTACTAAGCTCATATCTCTCAGTCTCTGCACCTGGTTTCCCTCATTCATTTTTTTTCCTTCTCTGGAGGGTTTGAAAGTGGAGTACGTTCAGCTGTGAATTCCCTAAAGCATTGGGGCATATTCAGGTAGGCCCTGTGCAGTATCAGTGGTTGGCTAAATAAAACTGAACAGTTGGCACAAATTCCCACATTATGTTTCTAGCAGATTTCTCTTCTTAGAGTAGTTGTTACTTTTGTGCTGGTATAAGGTCTGGAACATGGGTTATGTAGAGTCTATGACACGTGTATATTCTTCGGAGAGAAAAGAGAGTTACCTGTATGGTAACTGGAATTATTAATGTGTGTTCTTTCTGATCTGGATTTCTTTTGTCCTAAAGGAGACAGGAAGGAATCAGCTTATGTGGCAACAAGCTCCATAGTGATCAGCGGTACAGAGCACTGTGGGCAGGATTAAGATTACATTCACCAGCCAAATACGCAGTGTGTTCAAAGAAACAATAAATCAATTAAAAACCCTTCTTGCTCAAGTGCGTCCATGGTAATGCATACATAGACAATACATCAGAGAACTGCTGCACAGAAGAACTATTAATCAAATTCTTTCTGAAAATCTAGGCTTTAGATGACTCTTTTCAAATTACATATTTGTGGTATATGGATATTCTTGACACATGTCCCTGCTTAAGCAGGGCATCTGGCCAAGATGTCCTCTAGAGGTCCCTTCCAACCTTAACCATTTTGTGATTCTGTTATTTATCAAGTACATTCATGCAGCAACTTATGAAAGCTAACGTTGCTTAAGTGCAGTGCAAAAGTCTGTGGTTTTGAGTTCAACTTAAGTTCTTCCAATAATATAGTGTCAAAGGAAATGCAATGGCACATACAGTATCTTTCTTACAGAATTCACAGATCCTTACAAATAATGATTCATTTCATCCTTTCCAAAAGACAGCCACCATTCCAGTAGAATTTGTCAACACTTTGTGGCAATTTTGGATTGAAAGTTAAGGACTTTGCCAAGTGAGAGGACAAGAGGAAACGGGCACAGATGTTTAGATGGTTCCATCTAAACATGAGGAGGAACTTCTTCTCTTTGAGGGTGGCAGAGCACTGGAACAGGCTGCCCAGAGAGGTGCTGGAGTCTCCATCTCTGGAGACATTCAGAACCCACCTGGAGACATTCCTGTGCAACCTGCTCTATGTGGACCCGCTTTGGCAGGGGGGGTTGGACTAGATGATCTCCAGAGGTCCCTTCCAGCCCCATATCATTCTGTGACTAGCCACCTGTGTGATGTGTGTAGAGAGAAGACAGCTGTATAGAATTCTAACCAGGGCTGTTGATTAGCTGTTGAGACTAGAGTATCTGTTCTTACACATTATGTATCTTTACTATAGCATAAACAATGTTTCAAAAAAAACAACCCCAAAAACCTAACATCTCGTGTCAGAAATTCTGCTTTCCTAAAGCATAACTACAAAAAATTTAAAGGTACTTGCTTTTTTGAAGTAGACTGAAAAAGAAGTAATCCTGGGTTTTTACATGCTTCTAGAAAACAGTGCATTTCCTGCCGTGCTCCTCCTTTTCTTTCTTTCATCAAAATGTGGAGAGGTGTTTCTCACTATATGTGTTCTTACAGTCTCCCTTTTCAGTTGGAGGTGGAACTGTTGTGGTGCTATTATTACTAGGTGCAGTGAAATACACAGACATTACTTTTACAATCTAAACTTCACTGTTAGGTCTGAATTTAGTCATGAGAATCTGGTACTATTTGTGTTGCTTAACAGGCCCTCTATTAAAGAAGCAGTAAAGAGTGCAGGACCATTTTTCTTTTTGAATCAGCTTTTCAATACAGTAGTTGAAGAACAGACTTTATTAAGGGCCACTTGAAGGAAGAACAAATTATAGAGAAAGGGATTTACTGCAGCAACTTTATTCCATGCTCACATCTTGTTACTACTTGTTACGAAACCTTGTAACATGGAACTTGATGAGATGGGGATATCAGCCAAATATGTTCTGAGGTTAGCTTGTATCTATTTGTGTAACTTTCTGAAAATTCCCAGCTGGAATATAGGAGCTGCTTCAGCCTTTTTTCTACCTCACTTTGTTCAAATGCTTTTTGAAGTGATGCAGTGAAAATAAGGGACACTTACTCCTCGAGTTTAGAGATGACACATTTGGGGTGCTTTAGCAGTTACAGGAATATTGAACATTAAGTTATACCTGGGGAGCTAAAGCAAGATTTTTCTAGAGTATCATCAAAAACAAATAAAGAGTTTTTGGAAAGCTTGAGAACAAACATGCACGTGCTCATGGAGCTTTTCAGAGGTTGCAGACTTCGTGAATGCTTACATATTTATGAAGACAGTTCTCAGGATATCACAGGATAGGTGAAAGAATGAATCACTGCAGAGTTACCAGTTTTAACATGAAAACTATGAGTAGTTTTGTGTGAGGAGTAAAACAATCAAAGACGTTTTGGAATGTTCTGATCTACTATTGTATGTTTCCAAGAAACATGCTGTTGGGAAGAAAAGCAAAGCAACTCACAAATACCAGCTGTGAGGTTCTAATGATTTTTATGATTACATTAAAGAATACATGTTCTGATTTTTAAAGAGCTATATTAAAGCAAGATATTGTATGAAGCCGTGGTTCTTCTAAGGTTGTCGCACATCCCACACCCCTCCTCCTTTACGACCAATAAAAGTGATAGCTGCTGCTTGGACTCATTCCATCTCAATGGCTTTTTTTCTTGTTTGAAATATTTTTCCCCAAAAAGGACAGTGTACATTCACTATTATTTATGATGCTACCTGAACAGAAAGCTCATAAGAGAGGAATTGCTAACTGGCCTTGAATGAAAGAAGACCCACCACCTACTTCGGTCACTGAACCATTTTCTCAAAAAAAATTAAAGAGATGAGTGAAAGGCCACCACTCCTCATGATTGCTTCTTGTAAAAATGTAGTCAACTTTGTTTTTTCCCCCTCACTCCTTTGTATAGCAGCACAAATTGAATCTTCCTGTTGGGGGGGGGGGGAAAGGACAGGGGAAACTTTTTTCTTCTGTTTCCACTTAAAAGGCTTGTTCTTATGTGTTAGCGGACAGATGAGAGCTGATGCCCCATGGCAGGAGGGTTGGAACTCGATGATCTTTAAGGTCCCTTCCAACTCTAACCACTCTATGATTCTATGTTTAGACAAAACTGTTACATAGATGAAGAAACCTCTAGCTTTCCTCAGGACTATCCAACAATAGTACGATGCTGGAGGGGAAGGGGGCACGCATGGGACTGTCCTGTCTTTACTAAGAGTTTCTCTTGAGATCTGTTGTGAGCTGTCAGATAATGCTGGGGCTATGAAAAGCAACTGAGTGGGAGTGGAAAGAGCATCTGCTGTTTCTGAACACAGCCAAACCTAACGGTAGCTTTTGATTCTTCCAGAATGTTTTCCTCTTTTTCTACTACTATGTATAACTGTATGAAATTGTTAAACATTTGTCCAGAAGAACTGAACATACAACAGTAAACACTTTTTCTAGGGAAGCAAAAATGCTTGTAACACTCAGTATTCTATGATGCTTCATTGCAAGAATAAACATAACTTACTGTGACTTAAACATGGGAAAATAGCTTAATATTCCTGTGTAAATTTTATGTAGAAACAGATTGTATTATTGGAAAAACTTACTTTTCAGCCAAGTTAAATCCTGAAATGAGACTGAAAATGACTAAGAAAATTAACTTCCTCCTGCCTGTCTTTGACAGTCTGGTATGTCAAAGAATCAAAGTATTACCTGAAAGTTTGCAGCTGATTCAGCGGTTACAGCGCGTTGCATCCTATCGGATATCCCAAGTGAACAATACACCGCTATGTTAGCCTGGGGTAGTTTAGGTTGACTACAGGACAAAAACTGTCTTCATGATCCAAGTCCTCAGGGAACTGGCTTAATTACCCAATATGCTTTTCTTAACCAAGGCCATGACACTGCAGGGAACAATGGTATCCCCCAACAGGGGCAAGATTTTAGTTAGGATAAAATGCCAGAGCATCAAAAGGAGAGGTAATGGCTTTAACTTACATTCTTGTTCAACAACTTGTTCGTGAAGCTACCCCTGGGGTTTTTTGGTTTTGTTTGGTGGTTTGGTTTTTTTTTTTCTTTTTTAATCAGTCTAACTTTGTTCTGTCTACTTCAATTGAAATCAGAAGCTGCCTGAATGCTCAAGGTTTGGGGGCAGTGTAGGTGAAAAAGAAGTTGAGCACTCTTTGAAAATGAGAAACGAACAGAACGATCTGGAAATGGGGGGGAAGCCCAAATGAAAAGACAAGAATGAAGTTTACCACTGAATTTCAGGGCAGAGTTCACATGCAAGTTTCTCATAGCTGCTTATGCAATTCTAATACTGCGTCTTCCTTGCGTAAATATAAAGTGCAATACCCTGATAGCTCTCTTAAGGGCAGAAATTGTGTGCCCCTTAAGGGCATAGAATTCATATCCTGGTTCTGATTCAGCAGATGAATTTGGGCTGGAGCCTGGGTGTGGGGTTTTTTTAACTTTGTTTTAGAAGAGTTCTCAACCAAGCCTGAGAAGGCCAATGGAATGAAGGGGGAGAGAGGAAGGAAGGTGACAAAAGCCCAAAACATAGAAAACTCACCAAACGCTGCACAAATAGATATATGGAATTTAAATGAATAAACAGTTCTCTAGCAGCAAATATTGTCTACTATGGATTTCTCTGAAAGTTGATTCACTACGAGATCCAGTTGGGTGGACTTTCAGTTCCATTGTTATTAACATTCTGTTGTTCTCTGTGTGTGTGTGTTGTCTGATGTAGCGCAACCTCAATAAGAGGACGCTTAGGTGATTAGAAAACAAACAATCAATCTGTACCCGCGTCAAACTGTAGGGTAAAATAACCTCTAGTTCCATCCTCTTGCAAAGGCATTCGTTGTCTGACACGTAGGAGTCTGTTCTCTCTGCTGGCTGCCACGAAGGAGATGTAGTATAGTCAAATTGATATGCGAGATGAGGGAAGGTGTTACCCTGTTTGCTGTTGGTCCTCCCAGTTTTATGTTTGGGGCGGGGGAATGATCCAACACACTTTCCATTGAAAAGAACATTAAGAAATAGAACATTAAAACAACAAAAAATGAAAAGGACATTTGCGTATTGGTATAAAATCAGTTACCTAACAGGGATTAAAAAATAAAAAAATGTAGCTAACAATGTAAAATGCTTTCCCTTCTTTGAACACAACTTCTGAGTTGCATTCTTGTTTGCTTTAGATTTTCCCCTAAGGAGAAATCTACTTATATGAAACAAAATACCGAGTGTATGGATAATGTGTGCAAATACATTCTTATTGTGAACAAGTCACAATTATTTTGTGTTTCTGTAAGCTACTGTAATAGCAAATAAAAATATAGAAAACTGAGACCTCTCCTAACTTATTACAAATTTTGCAATAAGAAAAATAATTTTTCAGACACAGGCTTCATGTCCTATTGATCGGAGACCCTTTCGAGCAGTATGCAGGCTTGATGCATTAGAAAATCAGATAAAGGTAAGTTCCAGACTTATTTTTTTAAATACTTCAGTTGTAGGAACACCTGAGTTATGCTGCAGCCTTCTCTTCGTACATCTGTGTTAAATAAGCTTTCCTAACAAAATAATTATTACTTTAATGTCTCTTACATATTTGAAGCTAGGAATTATTCTTAATTATTTTTTCAAAGCAAGTGTTTACATTATTAATAATCACAAAGCTGCTATTGCTACTTTAAAGTATCTTTGAGCATTCACGATATATCCAAGAATAGAAGTACAGTAATTGGTCTCAAAAAGTTTTTTTAATTAGGTTTTGTAAACAAGTGCTGTATCAATTAGCATGCAGTCTTGCCTTTTTTTCAGCTGAGGTGAATCTTGTATGTTCACAGCCTCCAATTCACAGACAAAACCACATGAAGGCAAGAGGAATTAATTAACGCTAAGCCTTATTCAACCTAAATTTCAGAATTTTTTTAAGTTTTCAACTCTTTTGAATACTCTATGGAGAGCAGTTTATCAAGTGGGAAAATAAAACTTGATTCTGAAAGATGATCTTGCAAATGTATGTAGAAAGATGCTGCTAATTCTGTGTACAGTTTGTAAATTCTGTGATGAAATTCTGGTTATAAATAACTCTGAAGATGTTGAGTTTGCATTTTCCTATGTTTAGAACACAAGCTCCCACTACCCATTTCTTGTGCTTCTGGAGGCCCAGGCAGTCAGCTTCAAATGAACCACCAGACTGACAGCCACAGATAATTCCTTCTCACAGAAAATTATGCTAGCATATTTTATCTTCTTTATTTCTAAAGAATCAAGGAAGCAGCTGAAACAAGATAAACTGAAGTTTTCGTTGGGAAGAATGTAGAGACTGTGTCAACATATGTTTTGAAAGGTTCTTTGTCCATAGAATTGCAGTGTAAACAGGTGGGCAGAGAGCAAGGGTCCTGGTCTGAAAAAGAGCCACTGGAGCCATAGGGGCAGATGGAACGTGTACTGAGAAATGCTGACACCATGGCCAGTGTTAGCAGGGACACAGTCAGGGCATTGGCAGCTTTCCCTTTGTAATACTCATCATTAGAATGCTCTTGGCTTAAGGAGTTGTGTATAAATCTAGCATTCTAGAATAAAGAAATACAGACTATCTAATACAAACTGTTGCAATGTAGCCATTGAAGAAACTTCATAGTATGTAATAAAAAGTATATTGCTTTCTTAGAATTTTGAAGATGTGGAAAAACCCCAATATTATATGAAGCCCATAAGTTATTTTACTATAGAGGGAAATCTGGTGGTTTTTAATTATGAGGAACCATTTGAAATTGAGTGGCAGTTCGGCATTTTCCCAATCTGAACCTTGTCTATTCAGATCAACCAGCTTAGTTTAAAAAACTTAACTTCCAAATTCTCAATAGAAGATAGTGCATAGCTTTGAGATACTTGCCATTGGCAGTCTGAATGTTCAGGGGTATTTGGTCTCGTGGAATTAGTATGCATCTAAGCCAATACACATATCAAAGTGGGTTTTTTCCATTCCATGAAAAACAAATGAAAAACAAAACTTCAAATCTGCAAAGTGTGAGGTTAAAGAAGTAATGGTTTGAAATGATTTTGAGTCCTTCAGTTTGAGCTCTGCAGACCTTAAGAGACTTCGAATGTATTTAAAGCTCATGTGTATTGAGATTCTAGATTGGATTGACTTTATTCTTCAATACAGGTTCAGGTTAAAAAACAGCTAAGACAGAAGGAAGAAGAGGAAAACTGTGCCTGCAATAAGGGAAAATACAGCCATGCAAAGATGAGAAGTTTTATGAGGTTGGTCATCCACTTAAAACTCAGCATGTCATTGTAATGTTCAAAATATAAATTCAGCTCTTTTAAAATGGAGACCCTGGATTTTTTTAAAAAAACTTAAGTTTATTTTAAAATAAACTATTTTTTCATCAGTGGTAGTTCAGCTTTACTTTTATCGCTGGTGTAATTCCCACTTGAATATGTACAATAGCAAGGAAGAAGTAAGGAGCAATGCATTTCTTGCATTAAGCTGTGTGCATTTTTCAAGCAATTCTAATTTCTTTTTAATTAGAATTAAGACCATATTTTAACAATATAAATCTTTGGTTATGTAAACAGACATCCCCTTTCTCACATGTTATCATAAATGTTGGCGGTGTTCCTGTTTTACTACCCAGTTTGAGAGGAAGTTGTGGAAATACCATTCTTGTTTTAAGAGGCTTTATCTTGTCACCTTTGCACTATTGTATAAGGGGAAGCTCAGGATTACACAGTCAATTTTCACTAAATAGCAATAATCTAAAGTCAGTGTTTAATGGAATGTGTGATATATAGAGAGAGTTCTTGAGATTGAATTTGAAGCGGACTTCACTACGGAAAAGATAACTGGAAGTTAATTACCTTTTCTGGCTCTTATTAGAAAAGACTGATCTTTGCACTTCACCATTCTGAATCACCATTCACTTTGATATTCTTCAAAGTATTTATGCAAGCAGATTGTAACATCTTTCATGTGTTGCCATGAAATAAAGCAAAAATAAGCATTGAGATTTGATACAGGATATTAACTTGTGTTGTGTAAATGGATATTTCTTTTCCATATGTAAACTTTTTGAAGCACTGTGGCTTTTAATATGTGCGAGATATTACACATGATGCAAGTTCAGGTTTTAATAGCAATCAGAACTTGTTTATGTGCACAAAATAAAAATTCCTTAAAATAGAAGCTGATTTTGTTTGGATGTATATACGGTTAGCTTAAATATGCCCAGAAATAACTTCTGTGATATCTTTTGTTAATCTTGCAGAAGAGCTCTATGTCCAGACAGAGGGCCATTAGCAGCAAAATTAAGCAAAGTTGTGAAGAAAAAATACAGTAAGTTGATATTTGTCCTCCATTTGCTAGAATTGCTGGTTTTTATTATGGAACGCGAGAATTTCTTTTCTTGCTGAGCCCATTTAATATTTTTTTTTAATTACTTGTGTTTGCATATGAAAACCAAATAGAAGGAATAGAAGCATGGAACTTAAGAGAACAAAATTGCAGTATGTGAAACTACTGTTCTTATTTCACTGGAAGGACTGCCTCTTCAGTTCCAGTCACAAGAGAAATGGATTTGGTTTCAGCCTAAAGTCATTTTCTGCATCAGACAGTTGGTGAATGGCTAATGACTGGCATTTATTCACAGGAAGTTTTTTGGTGGGAGTTCAGACACAAGAAGCACTTTAGGTGTATTTTGGGGCCAACATTTTGAGAGACTTGTTTAATAGATATTGTTCTATAAGTGTTTTCATAACTTATGAAACAGCAAATATCTGAAGAGGTGAAAACTGCTTGATACATAAAAAAGCTATTGTGAAGGTGCATGCGTGTTAATTTTACTCAGTTTGTATGTAAACACATTGTAAATACATTTAAGATATATTTTCATTAACAGCTGATTGCATTAATGATTTTGACAAAAGTTACTATGTCAAGTAATAATCACAGTTTTGTTTCTTATTCCACACAGGTAATATATTGTTTGACAAACGAAACAAGAAAGCTTTGTCTGTGAAGATAAACAAGGTTGGTTCTGATAATGAAACACTTGTAAACACTTGTTTTAATGAAAACATTTTAAAAAGTATCTTTCTGCTTATTTTTAAGGTTAACTTCTTCTGTTTGTTATTTGGTATGATCCAAACTTTGTTACTTTGTCTCTTTTTTTCCTTGAAGGAAGTAATTAGAATGTAGTGCTGTGTTATATGAGCTTCTCTCTCAGATTAAATTTAGTTTATTGGTGGTAAATGTTTTCATTAAGATTAGGATGTTATATCATAAGATACTGTAACTACCCTGTTTTCATCTTTCTTCACCAAAAGAAGGTGGTATGAGCTACAAACTTTTAGCCAAGTACCATCGTATGAACCTTTTCATTATTTTCATGAAAATACATAATTGTAATCAACCAAGTAATTTGTTATATGAATAAGCCATGAGCATTATAGTTTGCATCAAGTTGTTTTTTTCATGGGAGATTACTCCTGGGAATGTTTGTATTTCTAAATTTCTTGTTTACTTCATAAATCTCAGCCTATAATACAGGTTTATAATATGCAGAATTTATAAGGTGCTATAAAGGCTCTGTTTGATTTCTGCCTTCCCTCCTTTCAAAAATAATTAGTGTCTCTGGGACACAAGTTTGTGATCAGAGCTTTCTTACTCATACCCATAAATGTATTTTCATGAGGTAATTCTAGACCATAAATTTCATTCTCAAGTGGAAATGTCAGCATTCCCCACCATTCTGTCTTACTTGAAGTTTAAAAATTTGGAGGAAAACCAAAGTCCCTGTTTTGCCTGTTGACTGTATATGGGCACATACACATCATGTGTCTTTTCAGTAGCTGGTGGCCTGAGTTGTCACTTATCTTTGGTGCTTGCACACCATCATTCTCAGGCATATCTTTAGCTCTGGCCTTCCCCTTCTAGGTCAGGTATTTAGAAATTTTGCTTCTGTTACCATATAAAATTAAAGGTACTTTTCATTGAATTGAAGAGGTTTTGAACTGGAAGGATTTGGCTAGTGGTAGATCAACCTCTAATTTGACTTCAAGGTTGGGGAATGCTTTCACATCTAGTTTCACTGATTTACTGTGCACTGTTTAATAGCTTTAGTGTCTCAAATGGTACCTGTTGTAAAAAAGGTGCATAAACAAAAGTAGAGCCATTAAAAACCTTGAGGAGGGGGTACAGGGCTTAATTTTTCAGTAAGTATCCAAAATTTAAAGAATTTAAAAGAAAGCACTGATTTAATAACAACCACTTCATAAGAGTATTTGTGGAACATCTGGATAGCTTTTTTTAGGTGGAAAGGGAAATGTTAATGTTCAAAATTATAGCATTTTTAAAATAAAACTTAAACTCAAAAGCTTTTTAGGAGAAACTTAAAATCTGCACATTGATGAAATAGGGCATGTTCCCATCAAAACCAGCTCTCTGCCAAGGTTTGATGAAGCACACAGGTAATGACTGCGTACTTGAGACATATATTTATATATGTCCTATTACAAAGCTTATTTTTCATCAGAGTAAATATATTCTGAAAGAAAATGACGGGAAGATTCAGTAAGTTCCCATTTTAAAACGCCAGTCATGGGGAATGAACAGGAATGTTTTAGTCAGATTCGAGGTGGCATTAACGCTTTAGGTGACGGGATAGAACAGGCAAAAATGGGTCAGCGTAGGTAAGTGGGTCAGTCTGGGAAAAGTATCTGGAGGGTTACAATTCATCCTTTTTTGGGCCTGCAGCCAGCCCCGTAGACAGCAACAGAGTTTCCTGCACACCATCAAAAGGCAGCACAGTAGCACACAGGAGGTGGTGGGCGTTGAGATCAAAATAGAAGGTTGTATTTGTTGAAATACGAAGTGGATTCTGAGTGTTGTGCCTTTCTGTGAGGGCTCAGTAAACAGATGCACCAGTCAATCTTCAACTTGCTAAGCCTACCCAAAGGCAAAGGAGAGTCCCAGCTACTTACATTGTGTTTGCCTGTTATTTTGAAACCAAATGTTCAGTGAACTGCTGTAAAGGGGTCTGCCCAAAGGTGCTAGTGCTGTGCTTACTCTGCTTTGTTAGGTACCAGAAAGGGGAATCGTGAAACAGGAAAGATCATGCTTGTTTATTCTCAATTTCTTTATGGCGCATTAAAGATTTTGCCATGGAACACCTGTATAAAATATATCATTTATCTGCAAGGAGCAGGTGTTGAAAATTTAGACCAAATAAAGAAAATTTATTTGTTGTAACGGCAAATCTCTGCATATAACTATGGAGCTGTGGTTGTGCCTACCTTTTGTGAGCGAAAGTCTTGCGGACATGATTCAACTTCAGTGCATCTTCATGTATTACATGTTAATTATTTTACTATGGACGTCTTTAATTTATAATATTTTATTTAATTTATAATATTTTTTTTGTAGCCCAGAAGACAGACCTGCTGGAATGAGTGCTTCAGAACCAATTTCTTCTCCACACTTCCAGCTGGTGGTAGCAATGAAGAATCCTTTTTTAGCTGTAGAAATGACTGGTTAGTATATACTAGTGCTTAATATAAACTGCTGGGTCACTGCCTTAAAATATTTTGATGGGCATATAAAGGATAAACGCAAACACTTCAAAATTAGTATTATTAAGGGCACAACCTAATTTGTCACAGAATCACAGAATCTTCTAGGTTGGAAGGGACCTTAAAGATCATCTTGTCCAACCGTCAACCTAACTGACAAAAATAGACACCCACACAACAAACAAGGAGCATCATCACTAAACCAGACCTCCCAGCACTACATCAACCCGTCTTTTGAACACCTCCAGGGACAGTGCCTCAACCACCTCCCTGGGCAGCCCATTCCAATGTCTGATAACCCTTTCAGTGAAAAAATTTTTCCTAATATCCAGCCTGAACCTCCCCTGGCGCAACTTGAGGCTATTTCCTCTTGTCCTGTCGCCTGTGACTTGAGAAAAGAGACCGATGTGCTTTTAATCTCATTGATTCAATAGGAGTTAAGTTTTATTTTTTGCTCATATTTAAACTGCTTGCTGAATTGAAGCCTTGGACAGGAAAGGGTTAGGCCTGTTACTACATCAGCAGTTAGCAAAACAGTGTCGTGGTTTAACCCCAGTCGCAGATAGGACCAAGCAGCTGCTCACTCACTGCCCCTGGTTGGGACTGGGGAGAGAATCAGAAAAGTCAAAGTGAGAAAACTCATGGATTGAGATAAGATGGTTTAATGGGCAGAACAAAAGCAGCATGTGCAAGCAAAGCAGAACAAGGAATTCATTCCCTGCTTCCCATGGGCAGGCAGGTGTTCAGCCATCTCCAGGAAAGTGGAGCTGCCTCACATGTAACAGTTACTTGGGAAGACAAACATGATAACTCTGAACATCCTCCCTTCCCAACTTCTCGTGCCCCCCCAGCCCTCACTGGCTGGATAGTGTGAGGAGCAGAAAAGGCCTTTACTGCCTGGTAACAACTGAAAACACCAGCGTGCTATCAAAAGTATTTCTCATCCCACATCCCACCAGCTGCTAGCAAAATAGTTAACTCTGTCCCGGCTGAAACCTGGACAGTTAACAGTAAATACCCTGTTTTGTGTCAGAAACAATCTTTTTCTTGTTGTTCCTTGATTCCAAGAGGAATACCTTAAACATAGCTGAAGCAATTTAGCTTAATGAGCCTAATACTTAAAAACAGGTGTTTTAAAAAAAATTGGTTTGGTGAGAAAATGGAAGAACAAGAATAGTCTGGAAGAAGATTATTTCAACGATATGGTCTAATAAAAAAAATTGTGTCTATATGTTTTTTAGCAGTCTGCTGTAAACAGAAAAAAACAAACATGTAAGAGTATTAATTTGTCAAAGATGCAAAGTTTCTCTATCTTTTAACTCCCCAGTAGAGACATTTCATCTCCTGTCTTCCGTAGTATGCCTCATTCATTTAGGACTTCTGTTATGTTTGCTATTGCTTTTTTTTCCCCTCTAAATAACAATGCATAATTTCATGATGACTGTTGAGAGTTCTAATACAGTGAAATTTAAAAAAAAGTCATTGATAGAAGCAATTATTGAAATACAAAATCATCGTAGTACAAATTTACTTTTTGTAACTTTTTGTGTGAAATTTGTATTTCAGTACAGAATTCACGGAAGTTGATGCAGCGATCGGACAGAAGAGGCAAGAACTGGAATTGTCCTGTTCATCTGTGCTTGCTAGAGTTGAAAGGTATGTGTTTAGTATTCATAATGCAGAGGATCTTAATATAACAATTCAAGTATGGCATGGGATTAATTAATTTGATCAATAATAAAATTCTGGTTTTGCCCAAGGTTTGCTGAGGGAGGCTGAATATATATATATATATATTTATTTATTTATTTGTTATGTTTAGGAGGGGGAAAAAACAAGCTTTTACTAAATTGCTGTGTAGACTGTTTCTCATTTTTCTGCAGAAAAGGCTGTTTTTCTGCTGAAGTACTAAATCAGTGTCCACAATTTTGTTTCCAGTATTTGGAGTGGACACTTTGTTACAGTTCTATGCTTTGAAGAAAGCAAAATGTATATTGCCTTAACATAACATACCTTGCTTGAACTTTTTTACTAGAGTGGACCTTAATATAAACCTGAAATTAAATAAAAGTAGGAAAGTTTTGTTCTCTGTCAGCTTTCCCTTTCTCTCCAGCTGTGATGTGGTTTGAAGTGTCATTGTTTCCTACTGTTTTGGTTTTGTACATTGTTTCCAAAACTTGCTCCAGACAGCTAAAACAACTAATGTTAATGCTTCTAATTTTCCAGAATTCCCTTAATGTCTTATGGAGCTGAAGCCGAGACTTTTCTTCTCACTTCTACTACAGTGGCAGGAACAATTCTTCCAAGAAATATCAGGCCTTTGGAAAACTTTGGTAAACTTTTTTTTTGTAAGTTTTATTTATAGCTCATGTGGAGTATTGTTAAAACATGACTCTTAGAATTCAAAGCAGAGTATATATTTACAGCTAACAGAAAAAAAAAAAAAAACAAAACAACCTGTTTGGTGCAGTTTGGTTTTATTTCAAAACCAGGTGGTTTAATTTAGAAATTCCAATATAGAGGATGACCCAGCCACCCCACAACTGGCATAACTGTTCTTCATTTGAAGATTAATTAAATTTCTAAATCCAACACTTTCTTTCCTGTTACAACTCCCTTTTCCTGTTGTTTAAGATCTCTTTTTGATACATTAGGAATTGCTTGACATATTTCAATGGTATATTGCGCAATGCGAGCAACAAACTGTTCCCTGACAGAGAAGAATAGTGGTCAGGAAACAATGCAGCATATGGATCTCTTTCAATATGCCTACAAGCCCTACAGGGCAAATAGCAAAGGTGCTCAAGCTCAGGGTCTGTCAGGAATTTAGCAGAAGACAAAGACATGGAAGGCATTACCTTCCTCCTGTTGCTTTTACAGCCTCTCTCTCCATACTCAGCAAGAATGTAGTTTCTCTTCCAACAGGCTGCACAAGTTCAAAGAAGTGAAAACAAAGGAGTGCTGTTTTTTTAAGGCCAGAGATAATGCCTTCTTTGAATTGGGAGTTAGATTACTCTTATTTGACTAGTAGGCAAAGAGGTGGGAGAGATTTGGGTCTCTTGGCTTACAAAAATTGTGAGGAAGTGAGTGAATTGCTGGACAGAATTAAGTAGTAGAATGATCATGAAAAAGATGCTTGATTCATTCATTTTCTGCATTCCTGTTAAAGGTACTTATTTCACCTCTGGATTCCCCAGTGAAAAAAGGACAGGTTGCTTCCTCAGGCCTCTGATGTTTAGCACTGCAATTTAACTGATGCTTAACCATTTCTGCTTCTAGTGGTAACCGAGTACACATGCTAGAGCATAGCTCTTGACTTCACTTTACCTTTCTACTTACACAGTCAGGTTTCTTTGTTAATGTACATCAGAAGCATTTTTAAACAAACAAACAACAACAAAAAAAAACACTTTGGTTTTTTTCTCTCAATGGAAAGACAAAGAATATTTAAATAAGCTCCAAATTTATTTTTCCACATTGGACTATTTAGGACATGTGAGTAATTGCTGTTGATAATATCAGCAACTGATCTAGAAACACTGATAACATTGTCAACTCCTAAAGCAGAATATGGAACTAAATCCCTTATACTATCTTTTGGGAGAGGCAGGAGATTTTGAGTTTGAGTCTTGACAACAAAAGAAAAGGAAATCTTTTTTTTCCCCAGATATTTTTGGTTTATATGTTTCCATGTGTTCTTGCCACACCTGAACTGAAGTTCAGATGTTTAATGTAATATATTACTTATATTGTGGACAAAGTGTAAAAGAGTCATCAAGATAGAATCTAAAAACATTGTAGTATGTCAACACTAAAGATTTAAGTCACTTTCAAGTTTGACTTAAAGACTGCCTACTGGTAAGAAGCATGCAGGAAGTAAGACATAGAGTCTTCAAATTTCCTAGTGAAACTAGTGTAAGTTTGATGTGAAAATGTCCCTTGAGGATTTTGTTCACATTCTGTTGAGTGAGTGTTCCTTCCCTATTCGGTTTTTATATTGAAACTAAGGAAAAGACAGATATGCACAAAAAAAGGTAAGGACAAAAGCAAGAAGCTTAACCTGAATACTGTTAGAGATGCCTGGCAAATATATATAAAGGAGAAGAGTTTACAGGAAGTATGAGAGATGGAGGAAACAGAGAGGACACTGGGACTTTCTGCAAAGGTGGAGAATAGGAGAAAAATGAAGAAAATACTGAATATACATGTATACAAAAAAAAAAGGCAAAGTGGATCTTGTGATTCTTACTAAATTGTGTCTGGAAGATGGTCACATAAACATTTTTTTTCAATTTATTTTTACACACGCTCCCCCATCTCTTGGTCACACCTAAGGTGTACAATCTTGCATCAGCGTAGTAGTTGACAGTTGCTTCCAGGGTTGTGCAAGGAGTCATACAAATATCAGTGATGGTGATGTTAACTGTACTGCCTGGATCTTCCCTGTAGATGCTTCAGTTTTTAGATTCTCTTACCATTAAATAGTTGTCTTACTAATTTGACCTGAAAATGTGTCAGTGAATCTACAAATACTGCTGTGATTTAGGCTGGCATTAGGCAGTGCTTTTGTGTGATTAAAATATTTTTAAATAAAGAGTCAGTGAACTGAAATGCCTTGTCTTTGGTCCAAGTCCAAAGCTTGTGAAGCTTGTCTGTTAAAATTTTACAGGTAGTATGGAATGCTAAAAAGAGGCTTGCGTTTCACAAGTGAACTTTGAAAGTGCCACAAAAATTACTTGCCTTTTTAATTCTGTCAGGATTCCCACATGCCATTTGTATTCAGAGTTTTTATTACGCCAGGGTGATTTCTTGCCTGTTGAAGCAAATCATCCTAGATATTATATGTCATTACAAATTTTTAATATCTGACTTGTTTTCCTGGCTACTGTAATAGGTTTGAAGACATAGTTAGTCTGAGACAGCCACATGTGGCTGAATAACTGCTGGTTAACCACTTCCTAACAAAATTATTGGGGAGACTCTTCCAGTAGGTACCTCAAATAGTGCTAGTCACCTAAAACTCCTTTGGAAATTCTTTACCACACACATTGTTGTCTTTTAAATACGTGGTACCTTCTATACAATCGATACCATTAGTTTTCTTTCTCTTAAGTGGTAATTTGATCAGCGAACATCGGAAAACCAAAACCAGGTATTTTTTTTTCTCATGTTCAGTCAAATTATTGTGTTTACAAGGGAACTCAGAGGAGGTGATTATAGTCCTGTGCTCTGCTGTAGCCTTCTAAAGGCTAGTGAGTACTTGTGGAGTTACAGCTCTATGGTTATCAGATGATAAGTTTACATTTAAAAGACAGTTGATATGGTTTTGATTCTGCAAACAAATTAGGAAATGGTAGAAAGAGGATTTTGCGCTGTTACATACTTGTCTTATTCCTATTTGATTTTTATATAATCCATTTAAGAATACATTTAACAAATATTTTAGTGCAGTAAAAACACAGGAAATAATGTTATACAGAGAGTTAGAATCAAGAGTTCAAGTGTGATGTGATAAAACCATTGCAAAATCCATTGAAATTAATCTTTCTTAGCAAGTTTCTACTATTTGCTTATGAAAATGAAGCTGCAGAAAGAATTCATTTAAACACCAAATTCCTGATGCGTTCTGAAGTCTACACAAAGTAAGAATCAAATTAACAGACATCTCAAGAAATTAATTTAGTTCTGAAGTGACTATTAAATTCAAGTATATTTACTTAATTATCACCAATTGTTAATTCCTGAGCTGCCCCTCGTAAGCTTTTATAGGTATCAGGAGTACCAGCTGTTCCCTTTGCAGTGAATATAACTCTTGGCTTCCCTACAGAGAATTTTCTTAAATTGTGGATAGCAGGAAATAAATTATTACAGTATCCACTCAAGAGCTCCCGTGCTGCCGTGTGCAGCTTAAGATCATTCTTCTTAAAGCTTTAGGTTTTTTGATGCACCGAAACTTGCGCTCCTTATTCAGTTTGTTAGGTGCTGCAGGAACCCTGGGGACTTTGCAGCAGAGTTTGTCCAGTTTGCCATGGAGCGTGCAGGGTCTGCCTTACAACTGGTGAACGAGTTTGTCTGAAATCAGATTTTGTGGAGAGGTGTGCTGCCATGGCTGCTTCTGATCAACTGCTTCCCATGAGGTCATCCACTGATGGCCATTGAAAAATGTCACTTGCTGTAGTATTGGACTTCATTTCTGTAGTATTGAGGCTTCACTGCCAATAGACCTGCATTGTAGAATGATGGGGGCTGCTCTGTGCCAACAGTGTTGTGTGGTTAATTCCTTGCTTTTCTAACAGCTTAAATACTGACTATCTTTGAACAGCAATTCAGTTGTGGTTTCATTGCAAATGCCGTTACTGTCCGTGTAGCCATGCTGATACTGCTTCTCAAATGTGTGTTTAGATGTCTGATGTGTCACTTCATTAGTTTAATTCTGTTCTTTAAAGAAAAAGTCTGCACTGAAAAAAAAAAAACACAAACCAAAACAATGCTGTGGCAGCATTTCCTACTAAATCTTAAATTGTATTATTCAAGGAGATCTGTTTAACCAGTTATTTTATGTTCTTAACTGTGTTTGGATAAATAGTTATTATCAAACTTTAATATATTCTGCTTTTCTTAGAATCTTTAGGCAAAGGATATGCTGTTGCATGTACCCAAGAAGGAGAAGAGAAAAAGCAAGCTTCTGGTTCATCTGGGACTAGAGGAACTAGAAGGAAATTGATGAACACTACTCCTAGAAGAAGATCTGCACGAAACAGCAAAAACGAGACTCTGAGTCAGTCTCGGAGCTCACCTCGGTCAGGCAGTTCTGCGTGCGGTGCCTCTGATGGCAATAACCCATCTCTGAATAAATCTCCTTCAGAATCAGAGAAGGCTCCTCCAAAACGAAAGTCTAAAAGAACAGTTAAACAACAAACACCTGTGGTTAAAAAGAAACTGAGAAGTGCTGCACGTTCCGAAAAATCGTCCAGTGATTCAGTGGAAGATGATGATGTTGCTGAATCTGAAGCAGTTCTAACATTGGATAAAGACCAGCAGTCAGATGATGAGAGCAATAACACAAACCTTTTGCAGAACAATAACATGGAAACAGAATCTGCTAACGGATTGGAAAGCTGTAGTGAACATGCAGAAATTGAGGAAACTACAGGAGAATGTGACAAAGGTGAAGATACTTCAGATAACGTGGATGTAAGTGTTTCTGCCCAAGAACCTCCAGTACTGACTTCAGGGGATGAAAGCCAGGAATTTGAAGTAAAAGATGTTACTGAAAAAGATGTAGATGATAAGAATCAGGATATCAGTGAAAATACTCTTGAACAAACAGAAACAGTAGCTAGTCCCAGAGGTGAAGCATGTGACCATGCAACTTCTGAAAAAGTAGATCAGACATCGTGTAGTCCTCAAAGTGAATCAATGGAGAATGTAGAAACTCTGACAAAAATAGATGAACCTGTAGCTAGCCCAGCAAATGAATTGTTGGAATATCCGGAACCTTTGGAAAAAGATCAGCCATTAGAGAGCCCCAGAAGTGAATTGCCTGAGCATCCAGAAGCCATAGAAATAGATTATTCTGAGGCTGAAGAAAAAACAGTAGTAGACTGTGCAAGTACAGATATTCAAAACTTAAAAGCTGTTCAAGATGAAGAACCAGACACATTAGGAGACAATATTTCTGTAGACAGTACATCAGAACAATCCTTAAAAGAGAAGACCATGCCAGAAAGTGAAGAGGGTAGAACTTCAGAGTCACCCCAGGTAAATGCTGAACATAAGCATTTTGGTGAAGATAACAATGAAATGATACCGATGGATTGTGACTCATTTTGTAGTGACCAGAACGAACCTCAGGTTGAGCCATTACCACCAGCTGAAAGTACAGAGCAAGAAGTGAACTCCTCACAATTACCACCAGCTCAAAGTACAGAGCAAGGAGAAGTGAACTCCTCACAGTTACCACCAGCTCAAAGTACAGGGCAAGGAGAAGTGAACTCCTCACAGGGTGATGCAGGAAACTACACATCAGTTTCAGGACTTTCTGATGAAAAAGATGAAAGTATTCCTCAAGAAGGAGAGTGCCAGTCAGAACCCCAAAAAGAGAAAAAGACTCGAACTAGGAGGTCTAGGTTTCACTCTCCATCAACAACTTGGTCTCCTTCTAGGAGAGAGGGCAGGAAATCTCAATCACCATCCCCTAAAAGGGAGATGACCAGAGACAGGAGCTCACGATCTCCCAGGAAGGAAACTGTGAGGGAGGGAAGGAGATCCTCATCTCGTTCTCCAAAGAGGGAGGCACTCAAAGATGAGAAAAAAGCGCCATCTAGATCTCCCAAAAGGGAAACTGCCAGGGAAGGCAGGAGATCATCTTCTCAGTCAAGAACTAAGGATTCGTCTCCGAGGCAAAAATCTAGATCTCGAAGCAGTGATAGAGACAGTCAAAGAAGAGATCGTGACAGAGACAGAAGAAATAGGAGGTGGTCTAGGTCACGGTCACGATCTAGGTCAAGATCACGATCTAGGACAAGAAATAAAGGTTCTTCCTTCTCTAGAAATGAGAGGGACAGTCATTCACCTCGATGGAAAGAGAGATGGGCAAACGACAGCTGGAGGAGTCCAAGAGGAAATGACCGATACAGAAGAGGTGATCAAGAGAAACAGAATGAAAGTCTTAAAAAAGAGAAAGACAATGCAGAAAAAAACAATGAGGATCAGTGCTCTTCCGACAAGCGGAGGAATGACTGTCCAGACTGGGTAATGGAAAGAATAAACTCCGTTCCTGAAGTCAGGAACAGAGAGAGAGAGAAGCCACATTGGGAAGACGGCAGGCATGATAATTCAGGGCACTCTTGGAATAAAAACTTTGGTTCGGGTTGGATCCCGAATCGAGGGAGAGGTCAGCGTGGCCGAGGGGGGCGTGGAAGAGGTGGTTTCATGTATGGAGACCAGAGTGAAAATCACTGGCAAAATAGAAAACCTCTCTCAGGGAACTCAAATGGTTCTGGGAATGAAACTTCAAGGTTCCCAGAGCATCAGCCATACAAGCGTAAGAATGAACAAGATTACTCTTTTGATACACCTGCTGACAGATCTGGGTGGACATCTGCATCGAGCTGGGCTGTAAGAAAGACTTTACCTGCTGATGTGCAGAATTATTATTCAAGAAGAGGACGCAGTTCATCAAGCCCACAGTCTGGATGGGGAATGAGACAAGAAGAGGAGACACCTGAACAAGGTATTCATAGTTTTGAAGCATAAAAGCTTAGTCACAGCTGCAGTAGCCAAGTAAAATCCTAGTCACGTTGACCCATCTCAAGTTGATCAGCTCTTCAAAATAATTTGAGGTGAATCTGTAGCCTTTTTGCAATATAGAGGGTGGCAGATGTGGCGTTTAGGGATTTCTTGTGTTTTCGTGGCCTTATAATGGCTTTTTGGTTTTGCTTTAAGTTAGACATAATTTAAGGACTATGCATCTGAAGAGTGCTACTTAAGTAAATCGATTTGGTTGAAGAGAAAGCATGTCCTCTTCATGGTTACTTTTAGCCTCCACACACCTTTTAAAAAGGGTAATTTTTTTCAAGGAGGTTTGCGTTTGCCTGTGCAGACCCACACGGTAGATTCTAGAGATGATAAGTCATTATGTTGACATTTTTCTTGTTTTTAAATAAGCTTAAAAAAACCTAGGGAGATTTAGAAATGCAAAAATGGTACTTTTACTGTACTTCATTAAAATTCCTCGAAAGCCTCAGTAGAAGCCTAATATTTTTGATTATTTTATATCTAAAAAACTAACCACCCTGACAGAAAGAAAGCCTTTTTGGTAGAAAGTGTGTTAACTGTGGATGAGATTGACTTCTTAGCTGCTCAGAATCATACACGGATTATTAATGCTCTGAAGTAAGACACAGATCCCTGTTGTATTTAAAAATCTGTAAAATCCAGTTCTGAAGGCAACCACACTTGCACTTTCCCATTGGCTTCTCGTTTTGTCTTTTTTTAAATCCATTTTCATCCTATATGCCAGCAGTTTTTTCCCTCTTTTCAGAGACCACTGCATTGGTGATTTCTTAGTTTTGAGGCAACTTTGTCAACCTTCAGCCTGCTGCAGGCAAAATTTATCAAACCTTTAATTGAAAGTATTGTGTGATTTGCAGACTTTATTTCATGTTGTTCTGGACCAATCACACTGTTATGTTTACTTTTGGAATGTGAATTCAGCTGAGAACAATACAGTCATCTCTCAAAACTGGATAAAACAGGCTGGGTTGGCAATCAACCTGCTTTTGCTGACCCTGCTTGAGCAGGGGGGGTTGGACTAGATGGTCTCCATAGGTCCCTTTCAACCTCCGTGATTCTGTTATCTCATGATCTTTAAAAAAGGTGATTTGGGGTGAGGCATAAGTGTTTAAATACCAGTCCCTGTGAATTAAGTGACAGGGTTCCTCAAGGAAGGGACTTTAAGGGAAGGATATCCTAATTATAACCCATCAGCTGTTTCTCAGAACTAATTTCTTGACTTCTGGAAGGTTTGCTGCTTGTATCTAGAGTTTAATTCTATTGAAGATAGAGTAAGGTAGCAATTTTTTTAAATAATTGCCACCCCAAGGGGTTATTTTTACTTCTAGGCTTTACCTGTTGTACCATTACAGAGGTTTTGAACAACTCTTTCTGAATATGAACATCTTTGAAATTGGTTGAGGATGATTTATTATTCAGTGAAAAAAAAAAAAAGGCCAAAAGAGCAGAATATTTGTCTATTTACCAGAAAGGGCTACAGTGAGTGTGTGTGGATCGGGCCAAGGCGGGGAGGGCACTGCGGGTGTGCTAAGGTGTGACTGCTATTGCAGAAGCTGGATAAGTTATGTTGTCTTCCTGCTCTTTGGGGGAGAATTACTCTTTTCATTGTGATGAAATAATTTATTAGCTGTGCTGTGGGAACAAGCAGAGAAAACAGAAATTCAAAATGCAGGCTGCCATAGTAACCCAAACCTTTTAAGCTCAGAAACCAGCACTGGCTGTGTGACGTGTCTGGTGATGAGTGTAATAACGTTCAGCTTTTTGATACTCCGTCCTTCATGAAGAGTTCAGACACCTGGCTCCACTTTTACTTTATAAATTAGGGATTTTCTGCTTCATACCCTGTCTGTTTTTGCTTTTGACAGATCCAAACCTCAAAGAGCAAGGCAGCCAGCAAAGCGAGGGCTCTCAGTTACCCATCAATATGATGCAGCAGCAGATGAATGTGATGCCCCAAGTGAACGCGCAGCACCAACCCATGAATATCTTCCCCTACCCAGTGGGTGTCCCTCCTCCCATGATGAACATGCCACGGAATCCTTTCAACATGCCCCCTCCGATGCCCGTGCACCTCCCCGCCGGCGTGCCTCTCATACAGGTAGCTGCTCCCGCTAATTTGTCTCAGGGATTACCTCCGCCTCCACCTCCACCCCCACCATCTCAACAACTCAGCTACGTCGCTTCCCAGCAGGACGGAAAGCAGCTGCAGGTAGGCTTTAGTGGAAGCCACGGCAAGAGCAGTTCTGAAGGAGTGTCACTTATGGATTTCTTCTACGGAAATGCCATAGTCTTGATAAATTTACACTTGCCGTTTCTTTCTCTCTTGCCTGGCTTTTTCCACCCCACGCCAAATTTGAAGTGGAGGTATCCACCAGGATATGAGTTGTTATGGGGCTGTAGCTTTTAAATAATAATACACGGCACCATAACTGGGGTTCTGTGGTAACGAGGTGTTCCGGCTGGGAATGGAACGCTGAAAAATTCATCAACATTCTCCATTACCTTTTCCTTCTTGGAAGTGCTCTGTTTCCAAAACTAAGGTTTCCCCTTCAAAATCTAATTCTTGAGCTCATGCTTGAATCCCCTTGCAGCAGCGTTAGGAAGTGGCCCCAGCCTCTTTGCTGTGGTTCTCATCCCGTGTGGGGCATCAGCAGAGGAAAGCTCTGGAGGACTGCATGGCACCCATTTGTTCCACACTTCCATTCTCCAGCTGTTGGTATCTCAGCAGCTTCCCCACACACACACATTTTCTTTTCTGTTTAATCTTTTTTGTCGTTTTGTTGCTTTCTTTGGTATATTTAATTTCCCCTTCTTGCCTGATTCTCCCGTTTTTGCATGCCCTGTTCCAACCTAACTCCCACTTCATTTCTCCACTTTCAAAAAGACTCTGCCCTGCCTGGGGCAGGTCAGACCATCTCTTTGTGCCTCTCAAGATATCTTAAAACAACCTCTGGGTATGTGAGCTCCTCCTGTGGCCAGCTGTTTGTGTATTAAGAGCTTTCATATCAGGGAAAGGAATACGAACAACTTCAGGAGAATGCATGGCACCACGAGGGGATGTAACGCTGCCTCTGGGATGTGTGAGTGAGGTTTGTGCTCTCCTCCTGTTGCAGGCTGCCCCCTCTCACCTAAAATGCTTTCCCTGCATTCCAGGTTGAAAAAGTGATGTCTTTCAACAGTAATTTCTAACCCTCTGTTTTCATGCGTCATCTCTAAAGATTTGAAGGGAACTGATAAACTACCTGCATCCTTTTCACTTCCAGCTGCTGTTACCCATTCATACTCATTAACTCAGAACAAAAGGAGTTAAGTATTATGGGGGACAGAGGGTGGGGTTACAGGCCAGAAATACAGTTGTCTGTTAGGAAAAGCCCCTGTTGTATTTGTTGCTCTTCCCTGCTCTTGTGGAATGGTCTCGGTGCACCTGGATGGATGCTCTTGGGAGCTGCTGCTGCTGCTGCTTTTGCTTTGATCTTTTGTTGAATGAGTCCTTGGTGGTAGCACAATACAAACCAGTGAACACTGCGAGGCTCCACCTGCCCTTCTTCTTGAAAGGAAGATGCAGAGCTGTGGCCTTTCCAAGGAGCTCAAATCCCTCTCTCATCATTTTCCATCTGGATAAATGCAGATGTGGAAATAAGTAGTGCCAATTACCTGCAAAACAAGGTGTGTTTGGGGTAGCCTACAGGAAATGTGTTGTGTTCTTGGCTTTTACTAAAAATGACCTCTATCTCAGCTCTGAGAGCTACTGAATTTTTCCATTGCAAAGTATTAACACGGCCCATGGTCTTTTGGTGATGTTTGGAAACGTACAGCAAATGGCTTTTCCTTGAAGAACAGCCCCTGGTGCTTCAGCCAGTGTTGCACCTCTAGCCTGGAGTAGACCTGTCGCTTTGTTTGCATTGAAATCCATTCACAAGTTCAAGCTGATAAGGAACATGAAAACAAATGTTTTCAAAGCAGCTTCATTAGGAGGCATGAATGCAGGTGTGTTTGAAGGTAACTTTTTATATGTATGTTTAGGTGCTGATTTTGAAAAAAAGGTTACTCTGATACACAGAACGGGCCTCCTGTGCTCTCCTGAGGCAAGCAGAAGGGTTGTGCAGCCCTAAGCTCCCTTCCCCTTGTGCCAACACCCTCCCTGCCTGCTTGCTGGATGCTTTGCTTGTTTTCTCAGTGGAATCAGAGCCAGAATTGAGCGACCACATGGAGGTGACATGGAGGATGCCTTACTTTTCAAGCTTTATGTTTATTTTTTTCCTTTGAGTGGATCTAATATAGTTTCTGTACCTTCCATAATAATGGACAGTGTGGAAATGAGCTAAGGAACCCAAGCATGTAGTGTTGATGCTCCTTCTAGAGCTGCTGAGACTTCTAGAAAGGCACGTTGTCGTGCTGCAGGATAACGTGTCACCTACCCATAACTTTTTAAAACAGGGTGTTCCAAATGCTGCTCACGTGAGTAATAACACGAGTGCTCCAGCCTTGCCTGCTCCAGCAGCAGCCCTGGGAAGCGTGGGGACAGTTCAGGGACCAAGCTCGGGGAACGCCACGTCGTCAACTCACGTCAAAAGCTCTAATGCAGCCGTGAAAGTGGGAGAAAACAAAGCCAGTGTCACGGTGGAAGCCAGCGCAGACAGCTCCAAGAAGGACCAGGCAAGTTCAAAGTTCAGAGTCTTTATCTATATGGGGGTTTATATATATATTTATTTATTTATTTTATATATATAAAACAAAAAAAATTGCGATACTAAAAAATAGCAAACTATGACAAATAGCCCTTCTGTGTCACACACTTAATACCATCATATATGTGACACTTCCATGGCGGCTGCAGGACATTAAACTAGCAAGCTGACTCTTTTCAATATTTTTCTTATATTCTTATATATAGTTTCCTTTAAAGCAGCACTATTATGAATAAAAAGCTGCTGTGAGACAAGATTCTCTTCTTAGTAGAAGACAGGCAGCTCGCCTGGGAGCTGAAACGTGAGCGAGGGGAGTGTGGTTTTCTGGTCCTCTGGAGTAACTTTGACCTGTGAAGTTTTAATTTGTGATGAATAAAGAGATCCATACGCAGGCACTGGAAATTAAAACTCAAGTTTGTTTTTTTCATCAGAAATTGTTAATTCAAGAAAAAGCGGCACAAGAGGTCAAACTAGCTATTAAGCCTTTCTACCAAAATAAAGACATCACGAAGGAAGAATACAAAGAAATCGTGCGCAAAGCTGTAGATAAAGTAAGTTGATCTGTTCATCTGAAATGTGTACATTGCAACTGACCTGGGGCTTGGGGTGGGTTTCCTGGATCTTGTGGGAACAACTGGTAGTTGCTGGGAGGGGGAACAGGAAAAGCAAAAATACCTTGGTCTTTCTCCATCCCCAAGAGCTTTCTCAGCTCCTCAGAAAATGACTTACTCATTGTTTGAAAGAGCTGAATGGGGATTGGGGAGCAGTTGGGGAAGTACCAGGAGTTTTCCAAGGTGTCCTGCCTGGATGGGGAAACCTGGGGTGTTGGGAAGATGAATAAATAGCATGAAACAACGGCCAATGAACAGCAGTGTTTCAAACATTTTTATTTTTTTTCCTTTAAAACTATTGTAGGTTTGTCATAGCAAGAGCGGAGAAGTTAATTCTGCAAAAGTGGCAAATCTAGTGAAAGCGTATGTAGACAAATATAAACACTCACGGAAGAAAAATCCCGAAGAGGCAGTCTCCTCTGAAAGGAAATGAAATAGAACGTGGTTTCAGTTTTTAATTTTATTCTATCTGCAAAGTGCAATTTCAACATGAACCATTAACTGAAAAATTGTACATGACAGTGATTTGAATCTGGTTTTGATAAAATTATTTTTCAATGTAGTATATAATGTTTTGTTCTAAAGAAATATAGATCTACAGGGCAACTTCTTTATTCCTTTTTAAAAACAGATGTCTAAAAAAAATTAAAGGTGTAAAGAAGAATCATTAGGAATGTACGATTGTGTGGATACTTAGATGTACAGCGTTTTGACTTGAATAACAGAGTGCATTAAATTAGAAACTTCTGTGGGAGTACCTTGGGTTTGGAACAGGTATGTACAGTACATGTAATCGGTCAGATTAAAGGAAAATTTTTTTCTTTTGATTTCTCCTTAATTATAGCAAAGATAAAATAATGTATTGCCTTGACAAATATTTCTAGCGTTAACTGGACAGGCTGAATGCAGGGGTCACAATGTGTATATAAAAAAAAAAGAAAAAAGCACATGGAGTTGCCTGAACAGGAGAACTGTTTGGATTTTAAAAAGAAAAATCATAAACAGTAAAATGTGGTGCCCAAAGCCCCGGGCACTGCACCTCTGTTGTAACACCAAATAAAAATTATGCTGCTTGGTTTCGTTTGTGACGTTTTTCAATTTGTTTTAAGACAGTGGGATGACCTTGAATAATTGTGATGTGCTTGAGAGCCCTCCGTCCCCGCCCACGGACAACCTCAGCTGGGGTCTCACCCTGCCCTGGGCCAGGAGGGGTTTGGAAGTGAGAGCTGGATGGTCAGAAAAGCAAATCGGTTTCTTCTTCAAGTAAAATGAAGAACAGCTGGAATGTAGTCCTAGGCTTCATCAGTTGTGCCAGTCTTAGCTGCGTGATGCTTTCCTTTGTTAACCAGGCCTGGTAGGGTGGATCAGCAGCCCCGTGTGGTGGAGTTGGTGCCATCTGAGGTGAGGTGCAGCAGCTTTTCTCCTGGTGCTGTGAGGCAGGGAGGGGAGCAGAGGTGCCACACGCAGGTGTGGGGACACCCAGGGAGGTACAACTGGTTTCACTGAGGTGGCAGTAGGGAGAGGTGCTGAACCACCCTCTAAGGTAGGCATTCCTTATGGAAAGAGCAGCTTGGGATCCTTCTGGAGTTGGGTGGAGAAGGAGCCGTGCTCTGAGATAGAAGCAGTTGTTGATGGATAGAATTCCAGTGCTCTCCTCCAGCCCCTCCGGCTTCTGCTCCAGCCCAGGGCTCCTGGCCCAACAGCAGGAATAAACTATTTTTGTCAAAAAGCATCAAGCTGTTTTTCAGAGAAATTACCTCCTGGTACCCAAATTAACTGTTGGTGGCAGAAAACTTACAGTCTTACCGTGTAAGTAACTTTTACAGAAGCCTGAGGATGAAATGAGGGATACACACACAAGTATATAGAGAGATTTATGTGTAAAAAATGTGCTGTTTATCACAATTGCTCACTGGGATTTAACTATAGCTTTCTACAGACTTAATGAAGCATTTGACTGTCTATATTTATTTTTGTGTGCCTAAAGACAAATACTATGTAAATTAGAAACAGATATAATACATTTTCTACAGTCAAGCCAGGTTTTAGATTTTTTCAAAATACTCGCTTTTACAGTGTGGTAGCAATTTGTATGATCTCTTGAACTATTTTAAGCTAAAATGGGTTAGCACTTTTTGAAAAAAAAATACTGTTGTAGCAAATTGCTATGTCTCTCCTGGTTTCTCACGCCGTGCGTAACTATTTTTATTACATTTTCCTTCTCTGACTCTTTGGATTTGAATGACTTTTTATATATTTTTACTCTATACAGTTGAGCCTTACTATAAAGTTCCTTTCAGGAGACAGATAAATGTTTTATGGGGTTTGGTTGGTTTGTTTTTTTTTCCTTTTAGAGGAGAGGTGGAAATTGGGTGGGAAGGACCAATGGAGGGTTTAAACTGGGAAGAGGGGGGGTCATGAATTTCTTGTTTTGCAGCTCCTGGCTGGAAGATCAGCTGTCACCTGCTGCCATGTTGGTGGGGCAGTGACTATAGTGATGCTCCACTGTATTTAAAATGAAGAATATCGGGTAGAGTAGCATGTGAGCCGTAACTCTATTTTTTACGATGGAATACTCAGAAAATATGCAGTTCGTTACAATATCTATGTCAAATTAAAAAAAAAAAAAAAGCATTGCCTTAATACATAGACTCACCTCCTATTTTTCCTGAAAAGCAGTAAGGGCTCTGTTGGTGTGGCTGCCCGAGAAGGCACGGGGTCATGGTTTTTGTTTAAAAAGTGTGAAAGCTGTATTTCTATTTATTGCACCTCTGAAGGTCCCGCCCTGCAGGAGCACTGACGGCGAAGCGCTGGGGACGCAGAGCCCCTCCTTGATGCCTCTCGGGCTCAGGAATTCCTTCCATCCTCATTGCCTTGAGGAAGACAAGTACAACCCGTGTCACCTTCTGTCACTTTCTGTCACCTCGCTGCACGGAGGGGTTTCCCTTGCGCTGTGCCTGCTGCTGCCCTGGCTCAGCCTGGGGAGGGCTGTGGGGAGCGCAGCGGCTGCTCACCACCGCCACGGTTCAGTGTGTGTAGCCAACAGCTGGAGTGCTGTCTACTGAAAAAAAATAATACTCTAAAAATTAGTTTTGTGTAGTGCTTAACAGTTTCTAATAAATTCTTTTCATGAAGCCAGCAGTAGTCCGTGTTTGGCCTTCAATGACTCTCCCTCCACAGCTGTAATTCAGAGCGATGTAGTCACTAGAACTTACCTACATATGTATATTTAATTTTGGTTTGTGTTGTCAGGGCTCCCCCTCCTTTTACATGTTATTTGTTTTCAGTGCGTCTGACTTCACACAATCACAGAATGGTTAGAGTTGGAAGGGACCTTAAAGATCATCGAGTTCCAACCCCCCTGCCATGGGCAGGGACACCTCCACTACAGCAGGTTGCTCAAAGCCCCATCCAGCCTGGCCTTGAACACTTCCAGGGATGGGGCATCCACAGCTTCCCTGGGCAACCTGTTCCAGTGTCTCACCACCCTCATAGTAAAGAATTTCTTCCTGGTATCTAATGTAAATCTCCCCTCTTCCAGTTTAAAACCATTATCCTGCCTTGCTGAAAAAATAACAGATGTACGTGGCAAAATGTCCCTTCAGGGCAGCGAGTGTTGGGGTGAGGGCTGGGGGTGCTGGGGCTGGCACAAGGCTGTGGGCCTCAGTGTGGTGTATCATCTGCTGCCCAGGCCAGACAGGGGCAGGGCTCACACCAAGTAGGCCGTGTCCTAGAGGTACTGACCAGAACAGTGGGCTTCACTGAAAGCAGCCCACTGGGAGTTCAGCACATGGGGGCCTACCTTACCTGTGAGATGTATTCCAGGAATGACTTCATTTCCTAGGATGAACCCCACTGCACCACCACAAGGTTCTTCCACAGGTAATGGAGGGACAAGCCGAGAGCCTGATGGCCTTCAAGGTGGCTCGTGGCTGCTCTGTGAAAGTCAAAGAAGCTTTGTTAGATGTTGGATGGTATTGCCATCCAGGGTGGGAAAGGACAGTCTTACCCTGGTGTTGCTCAGGTGGTGGCTTAGTTCTGTGTTCGTGAAAGGTGCCCCGATAGAGGGACACGTGGTCTTAGGGAAGAGCACACCACTCTGAGGAGCAAGGGTAGAAATTAAGGTCCAGACTCAAGAGAGAAGGAGGCTACCTCAAGTAGTTGGAGATACAGTTGTGCTCACTGCAGTGGAAGCTGAGGGAAAACATGCTGAAAGACATCATTTCCAAGAAAAGGTGGTCTTGAAGAGGAAAGTAATTAAAACCAACCGACTACAGTTAATTAAAAACTTACTGCCATAGTTGTAAGCCAGTTCAATTTCCACACGCCTGCTGGGGGGCATGGACATTTTCAAGCAGCCCAACAGCAACACCCACCACTTCACCTATTGTTGCAAAGGGCCTTTCAGTACATCAGGTTGACTTAAGCTATGTCCGCTGGTCCCCTCAGCCTCCACCTGCAGTTGGCTGCACACAGAAGTCAGTTTTTACACACGCAAAGCTCTCGATCTGTGTCCTACACACTCAAGCAGGTGAGGACTTTCACGCATTCAAAATCAAATTATACTTGCGTGTCAGGAAACCCATCTGCCTCATCTCCTCACAGGGCTGTCACTGCACGGAGCGTGCTGCTGGGAGGCAGGGTCTCCGTTTGGGTCTGGGCTGTGGTGGCACCACCAGGACAGCAATGTACCCGAGCCTGCGCCGGCCCCGAGCACGGGGAGAGGAGCAGCCCGTGGGGACGTGCAGGGGCAGAGGCAGCTCCTCAGCCAGGATTTGTAGTTTTTGCTGAGCCAGCACAGACGGGTTTGTACAGCCAAAGCCTCTGCGATCAGTGCCTTGCCATCTGCACGGGGCTGTGCGGCAGAGCTCACCCGGGTGGCATCTAATGCCACAAAAAGGGCTTGGTTTTTTCCCCAAAAGGCACATCTGGAGCATTGTAACGCATCCATGTGTAAAACAAATAGGTTGATTCCAAAGGTGGATTTGTGTGAAAGAGTCCAAATACATAAGCTCTACATTTCACAGAATCACAGAATCTTAGTGGTTGGAAGGGACCTCCGAGATCGAGTCCAACCACATTAAAAAAAAAAAAAAAAAAAAACAAAAAAAAAAC